CCGCACCCATGTGACACACGCACAAACAGAAATAATAATAATTAAAAGACCCCATTTTTGTGAGAACTTAGTCCGGTGTGTCTATCATCCTTTCCCACCCCCCACCCCACCCCCCATAGAACTTTCCAGACTCCTCATTCCTCCTGTATTTAGAAGACACTTCCAATTCTACACCACCTGTAGAGAGAGGCTGATCTTAGGGGTCTCCAGCTGCAGCCCTAAGCATGAGGTGTTTGGGTGTGTGGAAGGGTCCTTCCCAGGGACCGCCTAAGCAGGGAGTTGGGCCTGCCTCCTCCAGACCCCTGGAATTAGTCAGGTAGGACACAGGTGTGGAGGCTTTTCCCAACAGAACCTCCAACCTTAGGAATACCAGGCATGAGTGTGGCCAGAGCCCTACCTGATTCCCACATTGCCAGTGGGTGCTGCTGCTGGCAGACATGCTTCTAGACTGTGGAAAGCCACCGCTGCTAAAAGTCACTGGGCAGGGCTGTGGAATGCAAACCTGGGATATCCAACATCCAGGCCCTGTGGACCCCTTGCCCACTCAACCTCAGCCTTGCCCACACTGCTAGAATAGGTGGTGGGGTTCCACCTGGTGGACAAGTACCAGCCTCTTGTGTGCAGATGGAGCAGGCCAGGTGGGCTGCCTGGACTTGCTTGTTCTCAGTTCATCCCGCGACCATCCCCGCCCAACCCCAGTCACCTGGCGAGGCCTTCGGATGCAGAACTGCTCAGACAAGATGCTCAGGGCCATGGTGGAACCTCCTTCTTGAGATCTGAGGGATGGCTCTGCCCTTCCAGCAGGGCTGTGTGTAGTGTGGGCCACCTCACAGATGGAGACCAGCCTGTCTGCTAGGTCTGCTCCAAGCTCAAACAAAAAGCTGGGTGTGACTGCTAGTGAGAACCAGCAGTTGCTAGGGCTAGTCCTCGGGGAAATCAAAGAAGAAAACAAGGCCCCTGTCCCCTGGGGCAAGGTCTCAGTAAAATTGCCTTCACTTGCTACTTGAATGTGGAAATAGGGGCCAGGTTATTGGCAAAAGGGGGGGGGGTATGCATGATAGCAGGACCAGTGGGCTAGGAAACGGTCTGAATGAGGTTCCCCCAGAGCCAGATGGCCAAATGTGGGCTGAGGAACGTGCCACCTGCCTAGCTCAGGGACAGGTGCGTAGCTGGAGATGGGCTTGCCAGAAGTCCCCATCCCTGGTCCTTGCTTGGCTGGGAAAGGCAGTGATGTGAATGGAGGCAGGCTCCAATCTTGCTGCTGCTGAGCATGGCTCTGTCACCATGCAGCACCTCCTTCCTTCTGGGTTGTAGTCTGCTTTGTTTCAGACAAAGTCTCATGTGTCCCATGCTGGCCTCAAACTCACTACATAGTCGAAGATGAGCCTGAACTTCTGGTCTTCATGCCTCTACCTCCTCCCAAGTGCTGGGATTACAGGTGTGTGCCGCCACACCTGCTTTCATGTGGTGTGGTGGTTTGAAAGAAAATGGTCCCCAAAGGGAGCGGCACTATTAGGAGGTGTAGCTTTGTTGGAGTGGGTATGGCCTTGTTAGAGGAAGTGTGTCACTGTGTGTGTGGGGGGGTTTGAGGTTTCCTATGCTCAGGACACCACCCAGTGTCTCAGTCAACTTCCTGTTGCCTTCTGATCAAGATGTAGCCAGCACCATGCCTGCCTGCACGCTACCATGACAATAATGGACAGAACCTCTGAAACCGTCAGCGAGCCATCTCAATTAAACGGTTTCCTTATGAGAGTCGCTGTGGTCATGGTGTGTCTTCACAGCAATCGAAACCCCACCTAAGATGTGGTGTTGGAGGATAGAAACCAGGGTCTTGTACTTTCCAGGCAAACACTCTAGCCACTGAGCCACACCCCCAGCCTGAGCTGTCCTTCGGGATGGACCTCCTTTTCTTTGACTGTCACGTGAACAGCATGTGTGGTGGGAGGCAGAGACAAGAGCAAGAAGCCTTGGAGCTGAGCTGTGCAGGAGCAAGTCGGGCAAGGGCACACTGCTGAGCTCCAGTACCTGGGGCAGCCTTGAGCAAGTCGGGCAGCTCCCCATGCCTCAGTGTCCACACATGTAAGGAGTAATAGTGAGAGCAGGTTCCACCTCCAGCTGCTGCAGGGAGGGAGCACATCTGGCATCGGAACTCAGTGCAGCCCAGGCACAGGAAGCAGCAGGTGCCAGGAATGTGGAGGTGACATTCTTGGTGTTCGTGGGGTGTCCAGAGGCTGGGGTGGCCAGGACAGCCGAGTGGGGAGAAGGGCAAGAGGTGAGGTCAAGGAGGCTGGGAGGTTTATCTTGCCTGGGATTTGGGTTTTATTTTGATGGTAGTGGATTCAGATAGGGTTTCTGAGAAGAGAAAGAGTGGTCGTATTTATGTATGTGCATGCGGAGGCCACAGGTCTACCCTATTGTGGTTCCTCAGGTGCTGTCCGCTTGGCTTTTTGAGACAGACTCTCTCACTGGGACGTGAATTTACCAATGAGGTTAGACTGGCTGGCCGGCAAACACCAGGGAGCCCTCTGCTTTCACCTCATCAGTGCTGGGGTCACAAGTGTGTGCCACCATGCCTGCAGGGGTTTGTTTTGGGTTTTTGTTTTGTCTTGTTTTCCAAGACAGGGTTTCTCTGTGTAGTCCTGGCTGTCCTGGATCTCTCTATATATAGACCAGGCTGGGCTTGAACTCACAGAGATCCGCCTGCCTCTGCCTCCCAAGTGCTGGGATTAAAGGCCTGTGCCGCCACAGCCCACTCTGAACTTTTTTCTTTAACTTGAGTCAGGGGATCAAATTCAGGTCCTCCTACTTGCAAGGCAACCATTTTACCAACTGAGCCGTTTCTCCAACCTATTGGTCTTATTTTTGATTTAAAAAAAAAAGAATCTGTCGCTGTAGAGCAGTGGTTCTCAATCTTCCTGATGCTGTGACCCTTTAATACAGTTCCTCACATTGTGGTGGCCTCCAACCATAAAATTATTCTGTTGCTGCTTTATAACTGTAATTTTGCTACTGTGATGAATCGTAATGTAAACATGTGGTTTGCAGGATGTCTGATATGAGACCCCCGCACAAGGGTTGTTCGACATTCCTGAGAGGATCTTGACCCACAGGTTGAGAACCACTGATGTAGAGGACCCAGTATGGTAGTAGAAGGCTGGGATGTGTCTCTGTAGTGGAGCACCTGCCTGGCATTGGTGTCCAAGAGTCCTATAAAAGGATGGAACTCTGTCCAGGCTTGTTTAAGGAGGTCAGGAGGCTGGAGAGATGGCTTGGTGCTTAAAAGCACTTGTTGCCCTGGCAGAGAATCTAAGTTAAATTCCTGAGCTCAGTTCACATTTGGTGGCTCAAAACCTCCTGCAAATGCTGGGCGGTGGTGGCACACGCCTTTAATCCCAGCACTCAGGAGACAGAGGCAAGCAGATCTCTGTGAGTTCAAGGCCAACCTGGTCTGCAGAATAAGATCCAGGATAGGCTCCAAAGCTACAGAGAAACACTGTCTCAAAAACAAACAAAAAACCACCTGTAACTTCAGCTCTAGAGGATCTGGCACCCTCTTCTGGTCTTCTCATGCAGCTGTATTCACAGGCACACACGCACTATTAAAAGTAAAACAAATCTCCAAAAAAGAGACTGAGGTTGACATACACCCAGTCTGTGACCTCCAGGATAGGGAGGGAGGTTCCTAGTCTAAGAAGGGGAAAGCTGTAGTATCCAGCATAGGGTCAGGGCTCCAGGTGACTCCCCACTCCAGCCAGCTGACTTTGATCTGTTAGTGCCTCAGTTTCCCCATTGTCCTTTGACAATAATACAAATACAGACTTCCAGGAGTGCTGAATCTTCTTTGGGGTAACTGAGGGGCATATGTTTTCTATGTCAAAAACACCTGTTAAAAGATGTTTTGAGTTTAAGGCTCATGGGACACTGAGGTAGATTGTTCTTTTGGTAAGAGATTTAGTCAAAGGGTCATTAACACCACGGACAGACAGACAGCAACATGGGAAGGGCTCTGAGGAGCATTCAGGCCCCAACATCATAGATAAACAGCATGGTGGGGTTTCTAATGAGGGTTCAGGTCCACAAGGGAGTTCGATGTCCTTTCTACAGGTCTCAGAGGAAGAGGGTTTCATGGACTCAGGCTGTTTCTGGTTCCCTGTGAGCTGGTGTGGAAGGAGAAGGGAGTCAGTTCACTGTCAGGAAGGGGGATGTGGGGCAGTGAGGAGGAGGGGCACATCCACCTGAGGTGTACCCCACTGTATGGGAGGGGGATGGGCCACCCCATAGACCTCTGAAATCCTGGAGTCTGACAACTTGAGCCTGGAAATGTCCTTGGGGACTTGTGCCTGCCTTTCTCTCCTGGAATCCCACACCTGGGGCATTTTAAGGGGTAAGGAGTTACAGACAGGCTTTGGGCAGGGGCTTGCCATTTCCTTTACAGAAGAAAGAGGCTGCTGCAAGCGGGTGTGGCCTAAACAGCAGTCTTGTCTGGATTCTTTTTTGTTTTTAATTAAAAAAAATTTTTTTTAAAGAATTTCCTACATAGGTACTTACTATATTTACATCATCTCCACAGATCTAGATTCTAACATTCGTCTTCTGCAACTCGGGCATGTATGCCCTTATCTGCCAACCACAATCTCCTGGAGGCCAGGGCCTGCTTCCTTCTCTCCAGGAGCCCCATCCCCAGAGTGTATTCATTGCAGTTGCTCTGAGAATGACTGAGAGTGTCATAACACAGAGGTGAAAAAAAGATGGACATATTGTTCTCAGCTCATAGGCAGTGACTGCCAGACCTACTGGTGCTCCGGTGCTCCCTAGTGCTCCCTGTGCTCCCAGCACTGCTGAGGCCAACCTGGCTACAGAGGGAAAACCTGTTTCTAAAACAAGAAGAGGAAACATGGAAACAAGCAGAAAAAGCTAACCAAGTCCAACCGTGTGTAAATACCACGCCCATGTGGGATTTCTCACAGAGAGATAAAGAGATAGATAGATAGAGAGATATGCCAGCTGTCAACGTCCTGCATCATCACAGCACACGGAAGAAGAAAAGCCACATCATCTTCCCGCAGAAGCAGAGTAAGTACTCAGCAGAACTCAGGGGTTGGAGAGAGGGCTCAGGGGTTAAGACAACATCTTTGACCTTGGTGTCAGAAGCAAGGTGAGGAAAGCAGAGTCATCCTTCGGAGAGCATCGCAATAAGACACACACACTTGTGCTGCCGGCCGCTGAGGCTGTGAGGTCTACCTTCGGAAGCAGATCTGTGGCAAATGTGGCTACCACGCCAAATGCAAGAGAAACTGTAACTGGAGTGCCCAGGCCACGACACAAAACACTACTGGGACTGGGCAATTGAGCCACCTAAGCCATGGATTCCCTGAAGGAACAAGACCTAAACCCCAAAGGGTAGTTGTTGCAGCTTCCAGTTCATCCTGAGGATTTCAACAATCAATCATAAAGTAAATGTTCTGGCCGGGTGGTGGGGGTACACACCTTTAATCCCAGCACTCAGGAGATAGAGGCAGGTGGAGCTCTGAGTTCAAGGCCAGCCTGGTCTACAGAGCAAGATCCAGGACAGGCTCCAAAACTACACAGAGAAACCCTGTCTTGGAAAAAGAAAGAAAGGAAAGAAAGGAAGGAAGGAAGGAAGGAAGGAAGGAAGGAAGGAAGGAAGGAAGGAAGGAAGGAAGGAAGGAACCTAAATAACAAAAATTTAAAAAGTAGTTCTGGTTTCAAAAACTGGGTTTTTTGTTTATTTGTTTGTTTTTTTTTTTTTTTTTTTTTT